TTACAGTCATACCAAAATTTTGTACATAGTTTTAATAAACATTTTCCAACTTGCATCCTAAAACTTAAGAGAGAATTGAATGATTTTTAATGACACATGGTCAGCCACTGACAAAGACTTTTCTCATAAAACAATGATTGAATTTTACATTAACTCAGCCATTAATTTCTTTAAAAAAGAAAAATATATATAAAAAAAAGAAAAAAAAAAAAGGGGAAACTTCAAGTGAGTAAGACTTAACCCTGCGAAACGGGTGAGTTTGCTCGGGTTTGGATTGGGTCAATTCGGATGATGGGTTATCTGAATTGGGTTATAAATGGATTGCAGATTGAAAAAATCCAACCATAACCTAACCTTAACGGATTACGGGTTAATTCGCGGATTGACCTTATTTTATTTTTCATTCTTTATAATTATTTTTTATTAATTTTATTATATACAAATAAAATTATATAAATTTAAATCTAATTAAAGTATTGTGATTCATTAAAACTAAATACTTTATAATCTTAATCACAAATAATTAAATTAAAAAAAGTATAAACTTATAAATAATAATAAGTTAATTAACAATAACAATATTAAACGTAAAATATTTAAATTTTTTGAAAAATAAAGTTTAATTTTATAATCATCTTAAAATATTATCAAGTAATTTAAGCCATTTTTTTAATGATGAATTGCTCTTCCAAAAACATCTTTCACTAAGTTATTATGTTTATATCCTAATATCAAATTTTTTTAATATTTTTAGTTGCATTATCATTTCATTAATAATACTTAGGTAGTTGTTAATACCAAAAAAAAAAAAGAGACTTAGATAATTAAATCAAACTCATCATAATTTTTTTGTCTTTTTTTTAGAAATTAAGGAGTATAAATTAATGAAAGGAGTTAACAATAGGAAAATTAATTAAGAATAATAAGTATAATATTTAAAAATAATAATAAAAAATAAAACAAACGAGTCAATCTGTCAGGCTGCAAGTTGACCCTAACCTAATTTGTGACTTGTATGAATTAATAATACAAGTTACTTACATGTTACGAGTTCAAATATATAAAACCTAATCCATTTTTACAAGTTGAGTTAAGATTGAATTGATGGTGGGATGGATTTTTGTGAAGTGTAATAAAACTCCATCACTATATTATAGAGAGACGTTTCTTCTTTGCCAGTTAAACCTTTCACGTATAGAGTAGGCT